GATATTGTAAAATTAGTAAAGGAACATGTTATATCGTATCCGTCCAACCTTATTTTCAGTTTGTAAAATGTCACGATGAATGAATATGAAATACAAGTAATTGTCACGCGTCATCGACTTTCACCTCGACAAGGAGACAGAGTTTTTACGTCAACAGCGTCTCCCCAAGATGTGTTTGATGTTTAAAAATAGAAGAAAATGAGATGATCGAGAAGAAGCGATTCAAATTAAGTTCCATATAAAATTTTCACTAATTAAAATACCACGTGAAGAAACTTCTATACACGATAAACTCTTGAAGTTTATCATACTATATCAACGACAAGGAAATTTTACGATTAAATTTTCATACACTTAACAATATAGACGATTTGATTTTGCAGCTTTAAAAATCAGTGAAATGAAATTAATCATTAACAATATCAAAAAGTCGAAATGAAAAAGGGACGAATCTATTAAGATTTCAATAGAAACGATATGATTCGTTACAAAATACATATTACGTACAATTGAGTGATTCATAAATCACGACCTTCAATGAACAATAGAAAATGCATAACAGGGATATTAATACAATAGTAAAGATTAGTAGAATTTACGTGAGGCTCGTCATAAAGTACCGTTTCTTATTTCCTATACATGACTATTTTTAACCATATTGTATGTACTCAACAATGGAATGTTCGTAATCATCATTGATTATGTAAATTACTTTTCCTTTTGTATGCAGTTATTTTAGTTCCATTCGCGTCATTCAAAAGTGCATAAATTAGAAAAATATTAGATACGGCTTTAAGAGAGAAATTGTACGAAACGTGAAGTTCAAGAGATCACACACAACAAATCCTTAATAACACTATGTTTCCTAAATTCCTATAATAATTATCTGTTCAATAAAAGAATTAGTAAAATGTAACATTGTTCAGAAATATGTACATGTACCCTGCTGGATCAATTAGAGTTTCTACTAAAATAATACTTGGAGATATTAATGCATTAAGTTAATCGAGAAGTTCCGCTGCTAGTTCTCACGAGTACCTTTGCAATTCCATTCCAAAATTTCCATAAATAACAGAAAGTTCAAGCATATGTTCGTTCTAGTGATGGAAATATGGGTCTATAAATGGATTGGGAAATTTATTCGGTTTTAATCATTTATTCGATAAATCGACAAACCATCTACGACAAAGTGCATTTTTGGCATTATAGTTTGCACAATTACAACATGGGGAAACCTGAAACGGAGGCAGCTGAAAATTTGTATTAGATTAATGAGATAACTATTGCTTCCGTATACATGGTGTAAAAGTGCTTCAAATAATTTCAATTGAAGATTGTTAGTCTTGACAATGAAGCATGTACTGACAGACCAACATAGTAATGTTAATTGAAACAAGTTGGTATAAAACAATTTAATATACAGTCAACCCTCCTGTAACGCGATTAATTCGTACCGCGTTATATGGAAACCGCGCTATAAGAAACTCAGATTTAACGTGCAAACTAGATTAATTCGTGCCGCGTTATATGGAAACCGTATACCGCGTTATATGGAAACCGCGCTATAAGAGACTCAGAATTAGTACGAATCAGATTGATTCGTACCGCGTTATATAGGAACCGCGTTGAGTGAAACTCGGAAGTAAGTAAAATCACTTGTTAATCAGTTTGATTCGTTCTGCGTTGAATGAAAATTGCATTCTCAGAGCGTCAAGTTACGGTGCATACGGTTGTGGAAAAAATTTTACAAACACAAAAGGCAAGATAATATGTTAAGTACAATAAAATTATTTTTATTTTTATTTTTTTTTATTCATTATTTTTATTTTTATTATTTTTACAGTATTGTGTAATGTTGTCCAATTACGATAACACAAATTAAGCGAGCAAAAGGCGTTTTATTGAACACTAATCGTGATATGTACGTCTGCACGGTTTTACAGACAGTTTCCTACTAACAAGTTGTAAGTTGCACTTAAAATTGATGACAAAGTAAGTGGTTGCAACAGCGAAAGTTCGGCAGTGCTATTGAATAAAAAAATTCACGCAAATACGCAACAGTCAATCATACGATCTATTTTAAGCATTAAAACAGAACACTGTGAACAATCTCGCATCGTTTCTTCGCTTATAGGGGAATTCCCTGATAACTGAAATTGGAAAATGGTGATGTACCTTCACCAAAAAGAAGGGAATTCCCCGCTAATTTCAACTGTAAACATTTAACACATAGATAAATTCATGCTATAGAGAATCTTCTTAGACCAATTATAATAAGTTGATGGAATGTTGTTGAACGGAAACCGCGTTATAAGAGTACCGCGTTATAGGAGGACCGTCGCAATTTTGGCACCGCGTTATATGGAAACCGTGTTATAAGAGTACCGCGTTGTAGGAGGGTTGACTGTAACACAATCAACCATAATAGAAGATATTCATTGGCCTGGCTCAATAGAGTAATTACAGTCCTTTTTCTTTTTTTTTTTTTTTTATTAAACCCCTGTTAAATTACAATTTGCTTTCCTCGCAGGTGGAAAATATCTGAGTTGAAATACAGTTCTAACAAGTGAAGAAAACTCGTCAGATTCTACCGTGACAACGTCGATTCTTAAGCTGCGTCTACACTGTATAACAAAACTGTGTTATAAAAGAACTTGTTTTATAACAAAATCTGTAACAAGTTTGTACAACATTTCTTATCTCGTTATTAGTAATGGCGTCAAACGGTAGAGGACAAATGTTTTACAATCGCATCACCACTGGTTTAGGCCAACTGGCAACATATCATGTAACAATGTTTTACAACATTTTTTTTTTTTTATCTTTACCGACATTTGATGAATAATATACAACTTGCTGTATAACACGAAATGTGTTATTTAACATAATGTTGTTTTGAAGGTTGTTAGGACTTCTTCTAGCAAGTTTTAGAACTTTGTTATATAACCTGTTATGTTATATAGTGTAGACGCAGCTTTACACATTAAGGACTCAATACAAGATCAGTAAAATAAGATTAAAAAAATGTGACATCTGTTGCACAATGTTGACCAGGGTCGTTTGCACTTGGCGATAAAATTGGTCTGAACTATACGAAATTCAAATGAAATAAATCATAAAAAAGTCATTTATTCCAAGTCTATATTACAATAATTTTCTTTTTTTTCTTTTAATTGTCTCTCCCTCTTTCTGAAAAATGTACAAGTACTTCGTGATTATTTCTCATTTTGAAATTATGAATTTTCGTTAGCCAATACTACTGTCTAGAATTTATGATGAAACATGTTCATGTCAAGTTTAACATTATGGCATTTAAGACGTAATTGTAAGAGTTTTTTTTATTAAAATTTGCTAATAGGAAGGAACTTTAAAGTTGAAAATCAATTTGCAAATATATTCTAAGAATATTTTAATCGCAAGAGAAAGCCAATTATAGATAATGGTAAATGTTTTATCATAGATTAATTAATCAAAGTTTCATTGGAAAAACCTTGGTTTACTTTATTCCAGAATAAAACAATAGAACTTTCCGATGATTATTTAGAACGCGATCAGTGTCATTATATTTTGATATATTTGCAAATTACTGACTGTAACGGACAGCATTGAATGTGCTATATAAAAAGTAGAATTTAATTTTACCTATTTTGATCGTAACAGGGACAATTTCAATCTATTGTTATATATCATAATCGAACAGTACAAAATCAATTTTACTTTTACAGTATTTAGAGACTAAAACAAAATTTTGCCCACTTTTTTCTTTAATTATACATACTTTGCTTCAATAATCCATGCCTTTTACGAATTTATACTGTCTTGAAGAAAATTCTATTCTATTTTGTTTCTACGCGTTCAATTTCGAATTTTCAAGTATTTCAGCAATTATTTGCTGTGGAAAAGACGTTTTATGTGCAAGGGTTAACAAAAGGAGAAAACTGTCACGAATGATCATTTCGGTACAATCTAAATATGCGTTGATAACAGTTTCACTGCATGCGTCTAATTTAAACCGTATTGACGTAAGTTTAAGCGTCTATCTGCGTTAATATTCATGTCCCCTGATAAAGAATCTTAAATTTAAAACCAATTTCATCGAAGAAAAAATAATTTTCTAAGTGAACAAACGATTCTAGTTCATTAAACTAAGAAAATTCCTTTTTTTTTTATACACTAGGAAATACAACTTTGCGTTTCGTTAATAATACAAATTTTGTAGTTTTACCTCTATATTTTAATATTAAACGTTATCACACAGTGTAATCACATAATTATTTCACGAGTGTAGATATTATTAGAGATATGAAAAACAGATGACTACTATGAGTATCAATTAAGATATAAATTTTTATTAAAATGAAATTTATGTGCTTCTCTAGATTTTCTGAACGGAATGTTTAAAGATATTCCATAGTAATTACTTTCCTTTAACCTCCTTTATACTTTTTACAGAAAGTCAACTATTTTACAATAAACTATGAAATTTGTATTATTTTATTTTTCTAAACATGCAAATTTGTTACATTAAAAAATGTTAGTGTAATGCTGACCTGTGGAATAGAACTGCGACCTGAATAATAGTTTTACTCACGGTTCCAGTTTTAGGGATATGCTTGCACGCATGCACATATATATGTATGTGCGCGAACGAGAATCGGACATCGACACGAAATGGAGGGGAGAACGTTGAAACGATAAAACTATATGTAATTCCCGCTGGCGCTCAGTATGCACTGAGGAAGGAAGCGGTAATGGATAGTTGGTGCATTAGTTTCTTTCGTGTGGAAGTGAAAAAAGGAAACAACTGTTAATTTGTTAACAAGAATTCACTCTCCACCAATCACAGTTAGCGTTTTAGCTCCCTCTGCAGGGTAGTTGATCTCTAAAACGCGCGCATACAACATCCACAATTCCGTATGCTTCTTGAATCCTACTTCAAATTTTTACGCTGAAATTATCTAGTTTTTAAAAGTACGAATTGATCGTTTAAAACGGTATAACCTTCAGTACGTCGATTTCTCCACTGACAAGACACACGAATCAAGTGAAAGTGAAATAAAGTATGTGAAAACAAAATCCATACTTTCGGAGTAGTTTCCACTGGAAGTACAACATGAAGTATGTAGCTTCAGTTTCTGTGATGTGAAATTAGCGTGTCTAAAAGCGGCATGAAGAAACGTTTACAGAATTGATAAACAAATAACCCTTTTTGCTGAGTATGTAAAAACCGTTCGTTTATAAATCGTTGTTTGACATTATGATGAAATAATCGAAAGCCATACCTAAAATAACCAACGAGGAACTTGTGAACGTCGATTGAGGTTAGCTTGCGTCTAAATGATCATCACGATTTAAAAGTGTCCGTCCGTGCGTAGAGAGTGACGATTTTATTTGTACACACTGTGCATACGTGTACCGGAGGAGTGCCAGACTGAACAGAGAAATAATGTCAAGCAGTGTTTGCCACGCGCCCCTACCAGCACGAATGGAAGCATTTACCACGAGGCTCTGTCTCCGAGCAGCTGACCAATATGAGCGGCTTCTGCAAGCTCACTTCAATAAGGTACGTCTGACAAAAGTTACTACATAGTTAGTCATCTCGATCCATTGTTCGTATAAAGATAGCTTGGTGGTTACCTCCGTTCGCTAATCGAAGTGCAAGAAATTTCGATGGTACACAGTACTTATCGTATTATGCGAAATGCTATTGTGCTACATTTGATTCTATGTATAGTGCTTAAATTATTGATCAAAATAAAATAATCACTAAATAGACAAGCAATTGAAACTCTGTTTTTCTGTTCTTTTTATCTTTCATGCAAAACATTTCTGTACAGTTTCATTCACACATACATAATTGAATTTTCATTGTAATGTTGTAATTATAAAACAAGTATTTGCGTCAGAATAGCATAATCAGACAAAATAATTCAAAATAATTGCCTACATAATATCTCAAAATTTAAACGAGCTTTACTATTATTAACAAGGTGATGTAATAGCTGTGAGCTTACTGATTTCAGCCAAACAATTTTTAACCAATAAAAATTAATTACGAAGATACTTAATATTAAATTTCCGATAAATTTAACGTGTATTGTAATACTTCAAAATTTTTCTTCTAAACGGTCCTTTATTTAATTAAAGTGGATAGGGTATTGGCATTATTATTCTATTGTTGTTTATTTCAATTTCGTAATGAATATAATTTCATTAACTTTTCTGTTTACACAAACATCATTTTGGTTAACAGTAACGATGATTAATAGCATTTAAAATACTATACACTGACGATTTATGATTACTATTAATTGGAAAGGTATTTAAATAAGAAAAAGCATTTCAAACAGTGCTCTCTATCGTGAGTTTCGAAACACACGATCCTCAAATCAGAACACCAGAACCTAATCTACTTCGCCATCTTTAACTGAGGATACTTCTGTTAAAAAAAAAAAACTACATAGTTGCAATATTTATCGAAGCGATAATTAATGGAAAAAGGAACAATAGAATCGAAAGATTTTTAATACCCAATCTTCCTAATTTATTACGTAATTGGGTTATTTGCTTTTAATGCTTTTTCAGCTTGTACAAGACAACGTCATGACCTTTCGCAAAGAGATTGTTTAAAAAATACTGTAGTTTTAAAGTGGTAAAGTATCATTAACATTTTTCTACTTAAACGTTTTCGATTATGTATAACTACTATTAATGATTTAAATTTTTGTTGGTTACCGATAACCATTATTGATAGTGACAATATTTTTGGTCGCTGATAACCTATATCGATTACGAAAATTTGCCTTGGTTACTGATAATCAATGTCAATGAAAACAAATTTTTTGGTTAAAAATTTTTTTTTTAAATTAATGTTAACCACCTTGTTTTTTAACTCTATTACACAGGATTTTCCAAGCCGTCGTACAATAAATAATGTTATAAGATTTATATGAATTATTAATAAACAATCATTTTAAACAATTGCACTATTGACGATGTTCAAATGTAACGAAAAAATTAGTCCATGATCACCATAGGTTATCAGAAACCAAAAAGATGTTCGTCATTGATAATAGTTACCAATAAAATTAAACTTTTCAATCATGTTAAATTCTGAAAGATCTCCTCAAAATCTTCAACGTAAGCAACAAGCAACTTTTCCTAACGATTTCTTAAATAATAGTTTTTAAAATACTTGCTACTTTTAGTCCTTGATATTTTGCCACGCACGATCACCTAATGTCCTACTTTAAATGATAAAACAGCACATTGGTGCATAATTTATAAATGTCAAAAAAATAATGATTTGTATTTCGTTTAGTCATTGTATACATTTGCAAATGCAATGTATAAACGAATAAATGTCTAAACAAGTATGAAATTAACTATTGCGCAATAAGGACATTAAAGATATTTGTTATAGAATGAAATTCTTCCTCAATGAAAATTCATATATTTTAATGAAGTACATATGTACGTTGTTTTTTACAACAGATTATGCGTACTATTATCAGCCTGCGTAATTACATTTTTGTAATAAGCGAAGAATTCGCTTTGACGATAACAATTGTCAGACATACTACCTTCCACAATTTCAGGCCATTTGCCAATTTACATCAATATTGAATCTGCTACCGATTTTTCATGGATTTGAAATTAATGTCGTAGAAATTAATAGCAATTTACTTCTTTGAGATAGATTTAAGTACTGAAACATTCGTTAACAAATTTTTGATGTTGATCACATTTTTATGAAAATTCCTGCCTAACTTGCAATACATAGCGGACTTGAACTTTCGGCCAACAGTGTATATTAAATTACGAAATTGGAAAGAATAGTTGTATCTATGATCTACAATTAAATTATCTAGATATGGAAATATTAACAAATCTAAGTTGAAAAGTAATTCAAGTTTACTAACGTTCTTCCTGTCTGCAACAATGTTTATCCATTATTAACAATTCAATTCCAAATTCGTCGTATGCCAATATCTGCGAGTTCAAACGAACCCTTAGAAAATCCTTTAACTCATCTAGTCGTTTCAAATACAGGCGTTTTGATTTATCACACGGTGAGATTTGGACAGGTAATCGTGATTGTTACGTGAAAGTAACGGTGATAATTATGTATATTCTTTGATAAAATATTCATCCACATTCGCTCAAGGCATCGTTAACAGTAATGTCGTTCCATTTCTTAATCCCGTTGTTATATTCTCTTCGGCGATATTTATCATTCTTTATTTCGCGTCACGCCGTTTGCACAACTTTAGTTTACTTTACCAATAATTAATTTTTATTTTTCCTCCCTGATGTTTCTGTACACATTTTTTTTTTTTTCATTAAAAACAGAACAATAGAGTTTGTTGCTACCGAATATGTAGAAAAATTAATTTATGGTTTATAAGAAATGAATATGTAACTGTACGAAGGAAATAAAATTTGACGAAGAAAAGAGAAATCTAGAATTAGGTTCTTAGTGCAATTAAAATCATCAATGGTTTTATTCTATTAGAAAATTAAGTTATAATTCATTTTATCGTCAAATTATTATCTTAATTAAATTACCATAAGCACTCCACGTTTAACACGTACGCTGCCAGCCGAAAATCATAAGAGGCCGTGTGACACCGATTCGTAGTCATTCAATGGTAACCAGGTACGCACACACACGCTGTTTTCGCATCAACAGAGGATCGTGGCGGTAGTGATCTGTCGCACGGGAACGGCACCGCCTTTTGATGTCGCGACGGCGACTGATCGATATACATACATGCTGTCGACGCACAGTCGACGCTAGCACACAAGGCGGCACATTGGGTGCGACGATCAGGGTCGTATTTACCATAAGGCGCATGCTGGGGCCTCACACTCTAAGGGACCACATTTTAAAACCTTTACTCCTAGCAAATAACAATATTAAAAACAGCCTAGTTACAGTTGCAAAATAAAATACTTATTTTTAAGCAACTATATGTATACCAATGTTGCGTTATTTTTATTTTGTTAAAATGAGTTATCATGAAAATGTCGACTTTTATTTTCAAAAAGCTTAAAAAAATGTGTATAAAGATTAACTGAAGTAAACTTGTCCCTTTTTGAGGCCTCGTAATGATGTTGCGCCTAGGACCCCGAAAAGTAGATATAAATACGACCCTGGTGGCAGCGCTCAATGTTGATTTTTTTTTTTTTTTCGTTACTCTCACTCAAAACGTGCGGATATTGTTATTGCAAAATTATTGTTAAAAAACGTGATATATCCGTGATATATTCTGTATTGTTCCCTTTGTTTCAAAGATATCAATTTTACTTAAATGAACTTGCTAATTTTGCTGATTTCGAAAAAAATTTATCTCTGTAACTTATTTGTTTTACCAAATCACTTAACATTTGAACAGAAAATCTGTTCGGACTTCAAACGATTAGAAAACCAACAGTTCCGTTACCAATGTTACGCTAGGAGTAAAATTAAACTCTTCAAACTGACCTTGTATTTTCAATTTACTGTTTTTCCTTGCGATTTGAAGACAAAACCTCTATTTCTAATTAAGTGTATCCATAATCTGCGTATTATTTGTATGTATTTATTCAGGAATGTCGATAATACAATACAAATAATACCAGGTAGCTTCGTGTGAATTCGATCGAAAATGGTTTCAGAGAAATCCAAATCGCGAATAAACTTTTGGGATTTGAACAGACTCGACCTTCACTCACGGCAGATGAATAAATTCAAGGCGGTACTCGATAACTACTTCAAGGACCATTTTATCACGAGGATCAAGCAACGCATTCGTATTAATCCGTTAATTTCGTGCAACTCTGTTTCTCGTAAGAATAAAAAGAAAAAGGAGAAATACATGTGCAGGGTGTACAAAGAGTAATTTTCGTGGCTTCAGAGGGTAAATCTACACCCTTGGATGGACGTTTGTAAATAAAACTTGCCGCAAGATTGTTTGTAACAGTGAAAATTATATTAAACACTTTTCACATCGACATATTTTGCACGACAAAACGAGAAAACGTTTGAAAGGAGCGATATTCGAAATAAATGTCGATAAACTTTTGGCAATGATTTGATTGTGTCGAGTTATACATATAGATTAGGACCTCTCTGCCATTCGGTAGGATCTATAGTAAGTAGAGATGGCGTGAAAAATCACTAACGCTGATTTATCACAGTGATCGCAGAATCACGATCACGGTCGTAATTTAACTTCATTCACGACCGTGATCGTGATATCTTTTCTCTTGAGTGAATCGTAATGTGTCGTAATTGTGATCGCAATTCTGTAAACTGTGGTCGTAATTCGCGATCTTTAAAAAAACATGTTCAATTTGATTTGAGGCCATAGTAAGGGCCCAATGTGTTGCCCTGTTTAGCCCTGAGTTGAGTTTAGCAGCTTTGAATAGAATTTTTCACACACACCTACGTATACGCCACAGCTTTGCAAAATGATACAAGGATAGAATCGCGGTGTATCTGAGTCAGCTAGCAGCAAACGTGTACGAAGCACGTAGCATTAGGTGGCTAAAGAGGAAACACCCATCCGACCTAATACC